TTTAAACTGTTTCATACGCCATATTATCTATCTTGTCTTACATATTTGAGCGAGATATGTATTTGGAAGATAATAAATGAGATACAAGAAAATCTTTGATAAACTATATCGTATTGAAGAATTATTTAGTCCTGCGATGCTAACATAAAAAATGAGCTACTAAAATATACTAAGTATATTGTGATGAATTGTGACTAAAACGAATAGTTTAATGCAGTAGCGGATTTAAAGAAGGTGTCGTAAGACGATTATACCTCCTTCGGAAATTTTGCATGCTAGAAAAAACTATATTTTACAATTAGAAATGTTTATTGTGTCATATGAATTCGATGAATGTCTTTCTGTTTCGTTCATAATTCATTTATGAGATTTTTATGGATTCGCCGTTATTAAATAAAATATATCTAAAATTAACCGATGTAGGATAATGAAAGATCGTGTTTTACATCTCAGTGTTTCATTAATTAACACACCCACACCCTCAATTCTCATTAATGCGCAAAAATAATTTATTTTTTACACAAACGAGTTATGGCTTCTCATAATAACGTATAATTTTTCCTTATAAATTGTACAACTTTCCTAGTTGAACGTTGTGTAATATTTCGTTTCTTCTTTTTTTAATCAAATGAAGTAATTGATGAAAAAAAGACTTAGATGCAAAATGCCAACTATTCACAATGTGCTACTCGTTATTATTCATGTTCTCATCGATGTTTTATATGTATTCATATAAAAACGAACAAATCGAATCTCTTTCAACACGACTAAAAGACAAGAGCAGGATGCGTTTGTTTTCTTTGCTTTAGCTAAAATTAATAATAAAATAATGCTATGATTAATGAAATAGAACTTATATTGTCTTCGAATGTTTAACAAATAAAACATAAAATTATCTTAGGCATATACGAAAAATCACCACCACCCCCCACCTTCTAGAATCTTAGCACACCCGGCAGTTAAATGGAATTTTTTTACAAAATAGTCTTCAATATCAATAAAAAGTGTTTAATATATAAAAAGAATATACTTTTATACCCATTTTGTTTTGGAGCGAAATATGTAAAAATTCGTACTAGACCTACGTTTAGCATTACCAATTACGACTCTGATGTAATGTACATAAATGATGCATTGATATTAGTAAAAATGTTTCATGAAAATTTTGAATGGTCTTTCTGAATCTCTTCTTAGATTTTATCTAACGTAAAATAAAAATTTGAAATTTCTCAAAAATAAAATTGGATATTAGATTAATTCAGAAATCTTTGTTTTATAAATTTCATAAATTTCGAATTGAACATAAGAAATTATTCATAAATTAACAAATATTAAGATTGCTAATAGAAAAAAAAATTCATCTTTTATATCATGTTCATATCGACATTTTTTTTTTGTTTTAAGGTGAAAGTGAAAATTTAAAACGATTACAAGGTAATTTAAAGAATGATGAAAATGCAAAAGTTCGTGAAATGACTTATCAAAAAGAATCACTANAGACATCGCTGAATTCGTGAGATAATAACGATCTGTGCTTACGCATTCTTTGGTTATCGTGATTAAAAAGGATTAAAAATTAAATAATCAATTAAAATTCATTAAAACAAGAATAATCAATTATAATCGATTAAAACTGATTAAAATCAAAAATAATCGAATAAAAGGCAAGAAGTCTGATTAAAATCGATTAAAATTGATTAAAATTCAAGGAATCTGATTAAAATCTGATGAAAATCGTCTCATTTTAATCGATTTTTAATCACAAAAAAATCGATTAAAATCCCGTTTTTCTTGATTTATTTTTACATGGGTCTATTGGTGAACAAAAAAACTTCATAACACTTGGAATTCTCTAGTAACTTTCTACATTCATTAATTGTTCGTCAGATATGAACATTATTAGTCAATTGTGCATTTAAACTGTTTCATACGCCATATTATCTATCTTGTCTTACATATTTGAGCGAGATATGTATTTGGAAGATAATAAATGAGATACAAGAAAATCTTTGATAAACTATATCGTATTGAAGAACTATTTAGTCCTGCGATGATAACATAAAATATGAGCTACTAAAATATTCTAAGTATATTGTCATGAATTGTGACTAAAACGATTAGTTTAATGCAGTAGCGGATTTAAGGAAGGTGTCGTGAGACGATTATACCTCCTTCGGAAATTTTGCATGCCAGAAAAAAACTATATTTTACAATTAGAAATGTTTATTGTGTCACATGAATTCGATGAATGTCTTTCTGTTTCGTTCATAATTCATGTATGAGATTTTTATGGATTCGCCGTTATTAAATAAAATATATCTAAAATTAACCGATGTAGGATAATGAAGGATCGTGTTTTACATCTCAGTGTTTCATTAATTAACACACCCACACCCTCAATTCTCATTAATGCGCAAAAATAATTTATTTTTTACACAAATGAGTTATGTCTTCTCATAATAACGTAAAATTTTTCCTTATAAATTGTACAACTTTCCTAGTTGAACGTTGTGTAATATTTCGTTTCTTCTTTTTTTAATCAAATGAAGTAATGGATGAAAAAAAGACTTAGATGCAAAATGCCAACTATTCATAATGTGCTACTCGTTATTATTCATGTTCTCATCGATTTTTTATATGTATTCATATAAAAACGAACAAATCGAATCTCTTTCAACACGACTAAAAGACAAGAGCAGGATGCGTTTGTTTTCTTTGCTTTAGCTGAAATTATTAATAAAATAATACTATTGATTAATGAAATAGAACTTATATTGTCTTCGAATGTTTAACAAATAATACTATCTTAGGCATATACGGAAAATCGCCCCTCCCCCCACTTCTAGAATCTTAGATCCGCCGCTGGTTTAAGGGAATTTTTTTACAAAAATAGTCTTCAATATCAATAAAAACTGTTTAATATATAAAAAGAATATACTTTTAGACCCATTTTGTTTTGGAGCGAAATATGTAAAAATTCGTACTAGACCTGTCGTTTAGCATTACCAATTACGACTCTGATGTAATGTACATAAATGATGCATTGATATTAGTAAAAATGTTTCATGAAAGTTTTGAATGGTCTTTCTGAATCTCTTAATAGATTTTATCTAACGTAAAATAAAAATTTGAAATTTCTCAAAAATAAAATTGGATATTAGATTAATTTAAAAATCTTTGTTTTATAAATTTCATTAATTTCGAATTGAACATAAGAAATTATTCATAAATTAACAAATATTAAGATTGCTAATAGAAAAAAAAATTCATCATTTATATCATGTTCATATGGAAATTTTTTTTTTGTTTTAAGGTGAAAGTGAAAATTTAAAACGATTACAAGGTAATTTAAAGAATGATGAAAATGCAAAAGTTCGTGAAATGACTTATCAAAAAGAATCACTCGATGATGGATTGAAAGAAGTCGATAAATTAAAAACTACTATCGAAACTAAACAAGCAAGTCTGAAACAATTGACAGAAGAATTGAAGACGAATAAAAGCGATTTGAAAACTATTGACAATGAAAAAGAACGATTGAATGATGAAAAAACAACTCTCAATGAAGAACTCAGAGGAGCTAAAAATGAATTGACCAATGCTGAAAATCAAAATCGTGAAGCACGTCGAAAATATCAAGCTCAAAATAATAAAGTTGAAACTCTTCGTCAAAATGCGCAAATGTTAAATCAACGAAGTGAACGATTATCGACAAATGCAAAGCATATTAAAGAAAGATTAGATAATAAAACAGAACAAGTTCGTGAAAACACGGCTGCAACTGAAGCTGTCCGAGGTACACTCAATGCTCAGCATTTACGATATAAAAATGCTCAAAGAGCAATGGAAACATCAAAGAATGATTTAGTTACATTGAAAACAAATATTGAAAATACAGATGAAGAAATCGTTAGAAACGAAAACAAATTCAATGAATTAAAAGAAGAACTCAATGGAATGCATGAGAATTACGATCAAAATGAAGATGTCAAAGCAGCGAATTATAAAAGACTTGAAAGAATTGAAAAAAACTTAACTGGATTAAAACAACATCATTACGAATTACAAAAAGATCATACAACAAAAATTCATAATATTGCTGAATCAAAACAATCCGTTCGTGTAGCAGTTGTTAACACAAATACAGTGAATAATACAAATAAAATAGCTAACAAAAATACTCAACGGTTAAATTAAATACCAGATTAAAAACAGATTAAGCAATATTTAATCATAATCGAATAGTATAAGTCATTTTCATATATTCTTTCTTTCTTTTTTTTATTTTATGACATATGTCATAGAATTTATTCATGAAAAAAAATCAATACCTATTGTATGTCTATATATTATTCTGTTTTTTATATCTTATAAATTTCAATATTTTCCCGTAGATTCTTTTTTCTAGATAATATTCTATGAAATTATAGAAATGTCAGATGATAGCTCTGGTGATGAAGATGTTAAATTTATACCACATCCAGTTGTAAAAGAATCACCAAAGACTAATAAATCAAAAAAACTTCTATCAATGGAACCTGTTATTCTAAATACAATTATTTTAAATGTTAATATTAAATATGATAAAGATAACCATGTTGAAGCATTAGTCAAAGAATTAATGATGCCAAATGAACATCTTTCAAAAGGTCAAAATGGACAACATTTTTCAACACTTCATCAATATGTACTTGAATCAACACGTGAATCAGTCGATATGAGTAATCAAAAAGAACGTTTTAGTTATCAACCAAATTTATTTACACGGAAAAATGATGCATTTGGACCTTGGAATTTCAATTATCTGCTGACACTTCTCTCACTCGAATATCAATGTGGAGAATCCGATCGAAAACAATTTCCTCCTGTATGGAAAACTTGTCCGACAACAATAGTTCAAGTGAACATTATCAAAGAATATCAAAACAATGCGACCAATGCAACGGCAATTCAAATTCCAACAGAATTATTCGGCAAAAAAGACGATGTTACTCTTAAAGGTCTTTTTAAAATTATTTGTCGACAAAATCAACGTAGTGAAGATTGTATTCCAGGTTGGATAGAAGCTTTTCAAGGTAGAATATTAACAAATGACAGTTTTAAATCACGAATTCAAAACAATGTTGAAACATATAGGATATTATTCTACATTTCTCATAGACAGACTATGAAGACTAGAGATAGAACAGGTCTAGATTTTTGATGACCAATGTCGGTCTGAAATTTCGAATGGGTGTCAGTTCCAATTACGAATAATGATATCTAATATAGCCAAAGTCTGCCCAAAACTCCTTATTATATTCCATCTTGAATAAAGTAAAATGATAAAAAAGGAAAAAGATAAATAAGAAAGACTGGTCAGTAACCGATATCGATTCCATCTCTGATAGAAACATTTATAAATGAACTAAAGAAATTATTATAAGTGGACTGTAGAGTCCATACCATATTGATGTACGCACTCTCCAGACTCCTTCACAAACTGTGACAAAAGAATTCGAGATAGCAGCATTATATTGTATTTAATCAACAGAATGGTGAATGAGATATGTGAAAATAAATATTAAAAAGGCAACTTTTATGTCTTTCACCTTTTATTCGCACAAGAGTTGTGCTAACAGTTTCTTTTTTAATTTTAAAATACGATTTGAGTTCTATTTCTTGATCAATACATATTTTATTTTATTTGAAAATTATTTTAATAAAATATCCTAGCGGAAAGTATTGCTACTGTTGATCATCTTCGAAATGCAGTGGCTAATGAAAGAATCTGGGATAATATTCAATCGGTCAAACATATAGTTAAACAAATGATAAAAGATTATGTTCAATTAAATGATCCTGCAACAGCATTGAATCTATCAAATAATATTTACAAAGATTCTGATGCAACTTTATATGGTGATATTCATCGAATTCGACGTTATTTTCATTATGTTACAAAAACAGTTCAACATATTAGTTATCTTGATCGTCGTGCTGTTGATTTAGCTATTGTTGAAATACGACGAATTTATGATGATGATGGAAATGTTTTAAAAAATATTCATGCATATTTAAGAACATTTTGTTTAAAAGATAGATCAGTCGATATGGATGCACATGAAATACAAAAAACAGGATGGAATAGTGAAAAAGATAGATTAACAACAGAAAGTGAAAGACTTCGAAATGAAATTGCAGTTCTTGAACAAGAATCTCGAGGAGCAAGAGCAAATGTTGAAATGTGTATTGCACGATTGACAACTGTTGAAAAAGAAAAACAAATTGCTATGACTGCAGCAGAAAAATTAAATACAACAGCAGCTACTTTGGATCGACGTACATCATCGGCAGCTTGGAGTAGACAACGAGAACAGGCTAGATTACAAGTATCCAAAGCGACTGAAAAAGTTGAAACTGTAAAGAATCAACTTGAACGAGCACAAGCTGCACTTGCATTACATACTGAACCAATGCGACAAAAGAAAAATAAAATTGCTGAAAATGAAGCAAAACTTCAAAATCTCGAAATTTTTCTTCGAATTAATCCAAAAGAAGCACAAAAAAAATTATATGTCAAATATGGAAGAGGATTATTACTCTATGGACCACCAGGAACAGGTAAATTATTATTATCAATCGATCCTAACAATCAAAACAAATGTTAAATCAATATTATATTTAGGTAAATCTGAACTATTAAAACGAGCTGCACTATTTGCTGGTATAACAATGACAACAACAGCTCTTGCTGCTGGAGAATTAAATCGTCCATATGTTGGTGAAACAGAACGTTTACTTGTTGATATAATGTATCGATCAAATGCAATACCATATTTAATTTGTGCAATGACAATTGATGAAATAGATGGTCTTGTACCAAAACGAACAAATAATGCTCAACAATCAAAAGTCGATGGTATTAGTGTTTTGCTATCTCATATTGAAGGTGTTAAAAATATTCCTAATTTAATTGTACTTGGAGCAACTAATCGACGAAATATGATGGATGAAGCATTTTTACGTCGTATGCAAGCAAAATGTTTTGTTGGACGACCATCACCACAAATTCGAAAAAAAATGCTTGAACCATTAATATGTATGGATGCAAATATTTTTACAAGTCAATGTATGGATTTTCTTGTTAAAATTACAACAAATTTTAGTGGTGCTGCTGTTGGAGCACTTAAATCAAGTATTATTGTTGCAATGGATACATATCAAGAAACAGGTTTAAATGAAAACATATTTCTTGATTTAGCTGATAATGCAGCTAGAGAATTTAGTTGTTGGTTTGGTATTGGAACATTACCTGAAATTTGTCGTCTTTATCCAAATATATTTTCATCAACTGATCAACAAGAAAAATATTCACTTAAATTATTAAATAGTCAACCAACTGGTCGAATACTTGTTGATTTACTTGATCGAAAATGTTTAATTGAATTAAAAACAGAAGCAACACTTGACGATGATTTAGATAATGAAGAAACATCAACAATAACTTTAATTGCAAGATTTATTAATGGTTGTCAAAGTCGAAATATTGATACAATTCAAATTATTGATTTAAATTTTTTAATTAAAAATAATGCATTTGAAGAAAATCAAATATTTGAACTTTTAACAACAACATTCGAAGGTAATTCAAATTATTTACGCGATTATTTTATATCAGAGAACGTCGTAGAATTTCCAGTATCTGTCCTACATTTTGGCTTTTTTTCCTGTATTAATCCAGCATATGTAGGAGCAGAACAAACTTTTATTTAGTGTACAACTTTCAGGACAATTTTTATGTTCTGTAGTAAAGAATGAGAAATAGAAGATTAATAGAGAAACAATACAAATAATATTTGGTTAACGAGAATTCAATTCAGCGATTATTATTGATTTGCAAAGCGAATGATAGTCATGATCAGCAATATTTAATCGAATCAGCAACACTTAGATATAGTTTGTGTTATGTCTTTAACTATATTTTTTTCTTAAAAGTGTCAGAAACTTTCTGAACGCTAATAAAATCTATAGCAGAATGTTTCGGAAGTTGTTCTAATTGTAGAAAAAAAACACTAGTCGACTCCCCTTAAAGGAATCCACAGGAATTCTTCAAAAGACAGTCGACTAGGGATACCAAACAATTAGTTGAAGATAGGTCAATAAGCTAAAGAATGATTTTGTGAATTTCATAAACGAACTAACACTATTTCTCAATATATGCGCATACAAGTTTTAACATTATCAAATATGTAAATGAAAATAACCATCCTGTAGGACAAAATTTTTTGTCTTTCACCTAAAAAAGACTAATTAGTTGTTACGAGATCGATAACAACAGCTACATTGTTTTTTATATTTTAATCCCATGGGGATTGCATTATTTTCATGAGATTTACATTTCGATTAAACACTATGTTTAGATAATAGTAGATTATGACATTCTTTGATTGATTTACTCCTTTCAAGTGTCCCTATTCTGAATAGAAGATACTTTTTTAAGTATATTAATTTTCGAATAACTCGCAAACGTCAAATGATATCGAAGTTTGATTTTCTCTATGACATAGAAGAGATTTCGGTACATACATCTACATAAGAATTACAATCTTAATGAAACTATACAATTAGTACTTCAGGTGAATTTTTGTAACATCACTTCTATATTGTAAAACGGAAAAGGACGAGTAATTACCTTTTACAATTTTCAAAGTATTCCGATTGTCAATGTTGAAATCACGCTACGAATAATTCAAAGTGTTATTTTGAAAGTTTATTTTGCAATAGTTTTTAATCGAATTTTGAGTCAAAGAAATTTTTTTTTCATACTTTTAATTAGGATATTAGTGTCTTTAATATGATAATCTATAGAAATTTCTTTTCCAGGTAAAGTTTTAGTGTTTAAATAGTTAAGTATTAGTTATGAACAATTTCTCAATCGAAAATAAAACATTAATGTTTAGTTCTAATATTAATTTTCTTATTAAATTAATTTCATTATGAATATTTTTATACTAATTATCATTTTAGATTTATAATATATAATTAAAATTTAATAGATCTTTATTAAATTAGTTTTTTTTTCTAAAGTTTATTATCAAATGACATTTTTGTCAACAATTCAATCTCTATAAAAATTAGATTTCAATTTTTTTCGATTATCATGAATTATAGTCAAATCTTCCCGATGTACTTTTTCATTCTAAACATCTAGATGTTTANATATTTCTAGTTGCCCGTTTTAAAAGTGAATACACGCAACTATAAGCAACTATGTCGTTAAAACAAGTGGTGTAAGAGAATGTTTTCAGTGACTAAAAGATTGTATTATCTGTTAGTTTTATTCCCATCGCTTTTTTTCGCTAAATCCTTTTACATCATCTCATCTTGTTAATGTCACTCGAATCAAGTGGAACATTCTTCTCCATAGTGAGAATTTGAATGAAAATATTTGGTACTGCAATGTACTAGCAGTTGCCTCATTTGCTCAGTCTAGGGCCCAGTGAATCGACTTTTAACGTCGATGAACCTTACTTGTTTCTCTAGCAGTCATATATGGGCTTCCTAGGTTTTGCAGCGTTTTCAACTGTCTTTCCATAGTTAGGCTGAGGTTTTGTTCGCTTTCATTTTATGGGCCTATCCTTGAGAGGGAGCACAGTTGAACTTGTCAAGGAAAAATAAAAGTCAATGGATCGCTTTGTAAAATACATAGATCGGTTCAGGTTTTTGTACTGATTTCAAATCTGTCATTTGTTTTTCTAGCATGCGTAACGTCTCTAGTCAAATTCAATTAAATATTAGCCACGTCGAGCTATTTTTTTTCACTTGTAAGCATTGTGTATGTACTTGAAGTGTCTTACTCACAAAGGGTTATCGAGTGGTATTTAATTCAAGATGGTTCTTAACTTCCGTAGTACTATAGCAGGTGGGTTTTGTTAAGGGTAGCCTCATATTGTACATATGACAGAACAATATCATCTCAAGAAAAAAACGGAAGGTAGAACATTTTATCTGGTTCATACATATCATTCGATAGAAGAAAGAGAATGCCCTTATATTTGGTATATAATTAAAATGAAAATACTGACAGAAGAAGAAAAGAGCGTTTCATATGAACAATACATAGAACACCCTGCTAAGAGAGAGATAAAATCGAGTTTTACGCCAACCGTATGCAGCTGAAATAACAGCGAGCGGATTAAATCGAACTATAATCGATTCCTGACATTTTAAAAGACTGTTGGAATACTAGGAAATCCGATTTGAAGAGGGAGCCGGTTTCTTCGCTTAATGACTCGCCTCCTTTCTCTCAGCTTTGCTTGTGAAAACAAGTAAAACATTCATTTGATTTTCTTCAGACTCATGGTAAATCAAGAGGCAACTATGGATCTCTTCCCTCTGATGTCATTATTCAATGTCTACGCTTGCACAGGGCAAGAGATGAATGCATTGATCAATCTTCTAATGGAATGTATACGATATACTGAGAGTAAACTTGGTGATTTGCGTCAATACCTAATTGAACCAAGATGTTTCGAATCTCTTTGGAGACTTTATTTTGATCCATTAATAATAAAAAGTGTCCTTCAAGGTGACGCACTTGCACATAAAGAAGCACTTGGTCAAACAGCATATCGACCTTTATCAAAACATGAAATACATGTTCAATGGACAGATGAACGTAAAGATAAATACATTGATGGTATGATCACAAAACGTGAACGTGTCAATGGGCTTGTTCATGAAGCATTGAGTGCTTGTAGAAACAAAGAAGAACTGGTATTGCTGCTAAGTAAAATACGATTAATTTTTATCAATGTTAAATATGTATTACCGACGTGGATGTCTTTATTTCGTCATGTTATGGGTTTACAACATTTTGATGTTGGCGTTATGGAACTTCTATTTGAACCTTTACAAAATGTTGATATGATAGATTGTGCAACTGAATTAAATCAATTAATTCTTGATCTTTTCGAACTTTGGCCGCAGCTCAAGCATGAAGATCAAATGTTTTATATTAGAAATCAAATAGTTCAACTCATTCAAAATTTAATGCTTCAAACGACAAACAATCCAAATGAACTTGTTGAAGGATTAATTAAAAGAATCTGTGCAAGCACAACGGCAAAGAATATTAACGGTCATATTGGCTTTTTCCTCTTACTCAACGATCTTCTTCCATTGTTTTATAAATCTAACGCAATCGAACCAATTAAAAAGATTGATAATGATGCAATATTATACTATGCTGATGATATTCTGGAAAAACGAGCTAAAAGTCAATCTATGAATGAGCATTGTAATGCTCTTCTTACCATACTAAAATATGTAACTATGCATACTCATGATAATTATTTAAAATATTGGTTTGATCGTGTTCTTCATCATCAATATGATGAATTTATTTTTCAAATTATTGCACATTCAATTTATCCTAGTAGTACATTAGCGACTTATGTACGACGAATGACAGATGAACAAATCAATCAATTTTTAAAATGTATTGAAATTCCGATAGCTTCGGAATTTATTTCTGTCTTATTAACTATTATTGAAGCCTTAGTTAAAAATACTCAAGTACATATTGTTCTTTTCCAATGTGATCATTTTCGTCAAATATTACAAAATTGGTTAATGTCAGAAATCTCACCATCAACAGTTATTCGACTTGTAATATTATTACTTGACGTCGCTTCATCAAAATACAATCAACATGTTTTGGAAATTGCTGATTTTTTTGTTGGCGATTATGCGTCAAGATTTTTTTCGATTGATTTCGACGATCAAAGTCCGTTCGCTAATATTATTGTTTTCATGTTATCAATTTCAAATGATGATCAAGCAATCGGATCATCTTCATCGGATAGAGCTGAACTTCTGCTCAGAACCTTTTTTTCTTACACTGAAAACAAGATCGATAACGATGATAATATCAACAACTCCTTCTCATCTCATCTGCTTAGTCTTAGCAAAGAGATTGTCAAGCAACAATTGCGAGTCAAATTTGTTATATTACTTTCACCATTTATACCTGAATTGATGGGTTTATTGGGTCAAACTAATCGACTAAAATATGCAAGCATCAAACTTCTTGGCGAGATACTTGAATTATCAGAAAAAGAACGTTCCTCACTTGCCGAAAATATTCATGATGACTCCATAAATGAAGATTCGACTACTCTTTCAAATAATGCTCAACAACCAATGCAGCAACAAGAACAAACTTCTTTTTTCAGTCCGGAAGCTGTAAATAAATCAGATGTTGCTCGTGTTCAACATAGTGATTTCATCGATGGACATCAATTCTTAAATAGTTTAGAGGAAGCCGAACAGAAATCAGTCGATAAATTGCTTCGTGATCGTTTATCAAAGCAACGTTCGAATAATATAACTATATCAACCAAAGAGGAGAATTCAAATAGTCTTGTTCTTACTGATACAACTCGAGAGAACATATTCAAAATACTTGAAGTACTCAATAACCCAATACCAATATTGCTCGAAGGTAACACGGGTGTAGGCAAAAGTGCTACTGTTATGGAAGCAGCTCAACATGCAGCTCGTACACTTATCCGATACAACATGTCATCGCATATTACCATCGATGATCTTCTTGGCAAAGTGATGCTTGTATTTGATAAAGAAACACACATGACAAATTTTCAATTTGTTCAAGGTCCATTTACTAGAGCATTTGTAAATGGTTATTGGATTTTATTTGATGAACTCAATCTGGCTCAAGATACTGTTCTTCAAGCTATTGAATCGGCTCTCGATACACATCGCTTAACAATTCATAATACAAGTTCAGCTCAAGAGTCAATTATCGTTCATCAAATGCATCATGATTTTCGATTATTTGCTACACAAAATCCTAATACCGGTTTTTTCAAAGACAAACGAGAGAAATTATCTGCTTCATTTCTCAGTCGTTTTCGACCAATAGTATTTGCTGAGTTATCCGATAGTGAATGTCACGAAATCGTTCGACAACGACTACAACCTTATCTAAATGATGAAGCTAATGATTATGCAGATTTACTCGTCACATATTTCAATAAAAAAATTAAAAAACGTATTCAATGATCCCAAACAACAATCAGTTGAAACTGGACCATATGCTGAAATATCTATTCGTGAATTATTAAAATGGGTTAATCAATTGATTTGGCAAAAACAGAATGGAAAATGGCCAAATGATGGACAAGAACGTGCAAATATGCTCAGTTTTAGTGCCTGGTGTATATATGGTGCACGTTATCGTGGTGTTGGACGTGATCTTATTGAAAATATTCTAACTGATAATGGAAAAGGTTTTTGGGGTCGTCCAGCTCTTCAAACAATTAACGTTCATATTGATCAACGACTCAATGGAATATTCTTAGACGATGTCCGATGTTCGAATCGAGTCGAAATTCGACCAATCGATAATCCTGAACGTGAATGGTCACATTATTTTGCTATGGCTGATCTCAAAACGATAAAATTCGATTCTAATGTTTGGACAATGGCATGTAATGTTCACAATGCTGTTCATCAAACATTACTTAAAGATGAATTTATTCGTTTACATGGTATCTATCATATTGATCGTTCTTGGCTGTGGCAATGGCTTACTTCAGCGGCTCGTTTTCTTGAACGACCAAATGAATTTGCATTGCACGGTTGTAAAATGTATATTAACCGTTTTCGTCATATTCAAGCACAGAATAAAGTTCGTGAATGTTTCACTCGACATTTCAAAGATTTTAATATATCGAATACAGTATCAGACAATGCTCTTGTACAGCCAGAAATACCATATATTTTTACAAATCGAATATTGAGCACATTAAAACAAGTATCATTCAATTTGAATATCAAACAACCAATTCTTGTCACTGGTCCTGAAGGTTGTGGTAAATCTGATCTATTGTTAACTCTTGGTTGGCTTAATGGTCAACAAGTATATCAACTGAATATCACACCAGAAACTGAACCTTCAGCACTCATTGGTCAGATCATTCCGAATGAAACAAAAAATAAAAATGATCCAAACTATGGTGAAAAATTGATTTGGCAGAATGGTTGTGTTACACGATCTTATATCGACGGTCAATGGGTGTTACTCGATAATTTGAATACAGCAGAATCATCAGTACTCGAACGGCTTAATCCTGTTCTTGAAGAAAAACCCATGCTTATACTCACTGAAAAAGGTGATGTTAGCGAACAACCACTACATAATGATTATCGTCTTGTTGCAACAATGACACCACCTGATTCACGTTATTCATCATTGAATATTGATGAACTTTCACCATCACTCTACAATCGTTTTGCTATTGTTCACATGAAGGATATTGATATGAATTCTGATGAATTACTTCAATTAGCTGAAGGTCTTCTTTCAGATACGCATGATGTTGATCCACATTTAGCTGTTGATCTTTATCGAGAAATATTCGAATTTTTATCAAAAAACTCATTAAATAGTTCTAAATTAACTTTACGTAATTTCGTTCGTTTTCTTGATAGTACATATCGTCTTCATCAACGTTTTAAAGATACACTTGATTTTATTTCCATTATTTGGACTGCTTATCATGTTACCATTGTTAATCAAGTCAAAGGAGAACGAATCAAATCTCAAATGACGCAATCGATTGAAACATTTTTACATCGCACTCGACCGAACTGTAAGCTTAATCAACCACCATTTACCGATTGTATTCGAAAAACAGATGAACATATATTAACTCAAAGCCGACTAAATTATGCCAATGCTGTATTAGGTGCTGTAGCTTGTAATATTCCACTTCTTTTGGAAGGTCCATCTGCTGTTGGTAAAACTACATTGATTGCTCATTTATGTAAAAATATTGATAATAAAAAAATGCATTACATATCAAATGAACAAATAGTCAAACTTGAACGAGTAAATAATACTGATACAACAACAATTCAGGATTATTTAGGAACATTTTTACCTGTTAATGATGGATTTGTTTTTCAAAAAGGTGCACTTTATCGAGCTATGGAAAATGGTTGGTGGTTTCTTGCTGATGAATTTAATTTAGCTGATCCATCTGTTATGAATATTCTATTTCCATTACTTGAAGGTAAAAATTCTATTATAATACCAACAAGTGGAAAGATTATTACAGCTAAACCAGGTTTTCATTTTTTTGCAACACAAAATGATGCGTCCTATGCAAATCGGCATCAACTACCGATATCATTGCGTAATCGTTTTGTTGAAATACAATTTGATGAATTTCCTGAAGTCGAATTATCAGAAATTCTTCGTCGACGAAACAAACCCGACAAACATAAACAAACAAATTTAACGGATCAATCAGCTAAATCATTAGCTTTATTCTATCATCAATTGATTCGTACTCGATCACGTATTACATTTCGTGAACTTGTCAAATGGCTTCGTCGACATGAATTATTTTCTCGTGGAAAAGAATTTTGGCCTATGATAGGTGTTTCACTTCTAGCTGGTAAATATCCACTGGAATCATATACACGACAAACATTAATCAATGACTTAAATACAATTTGGCCGAATGCTATCATCCCAAAAATTTCACAAATAGATGTTAGAGATATAGGTGGTGGGCTAGTTCGATTTCAAGAGAATGATGTTTTTGTCGATGTTAATACAACATTACTCTCTCAGAGTATTATACCAATATCACCTAAGACATTTCAACGGACACTTGTTCGTATTGCTTTAGCTATTTGTGCAGGTGAACCTGTACTTCTTGTTGGACCAACATCATATAAAACATTAATTGTTGAAACATGGACTCGATTATCAAATCGATTTGATGAACTTGTTAAAATACATTTAACACCGGAAAGTGAATCTGCTGATCTTATTGGAGAAATTCAACCATATTCATTTCTTGATCTACTCAAACGATTACCATTTATGGCTGAACAAGTTGTTCATCGTTTCCAAAATCTTTGTCGAAGTCAAAACAGTACGGGCATATTGAATATAGATGATAAGATCTTTATCGATTCTATGGTTGATTTGATTAAAAAAGATTTTAATGAAGCGATTGATCTATTTGAAAAGACTTATTCACGTGAGGAAGAACAACGTCAACAAAAAGAAGCACTTCATAATAATTTTTCAGAATTACGAGCACATGCTGAATCATTTATGATACCACTAACAACTGATAAATATGCCGATGAGGTTCAGAACGTCATCGAAACAAGAACAAGTACACCTTCATTTCAGCACCATTGTATAGATTATGAATTTCCTCCTCGTATTTATCATTATGAAGATAGTTATGATAATGATGATGATGATGATGAGACTGTACCTAAGAAAAATACATTTAACACAATGTCATACGCTGATTGTCAATTGGATGACGATGAATATGGTACTTGCGGAACAGTCGATATGCAGTCTATGGTCACTATGAATATCGATGATAATTTGACGAATCGATCTACATTTAAAAAAAATTCGTCTGAATCAGATGATGATTAGAAGTCATCCATAAAAGATGTCCAGATAAAGAAATCGCATATTTTTTTAGCCCCACCCTCAAGGGGGAAAAACGACTCCAGGGATCCTGGTGGATTCTGGATTCTAATGGATCGTGGTGACTCCTATCAGGATCTACTGGAAGGCACCTAGAGCCATAAGGATCCATTAGGAGCCACCAGGATCCATTGGAATCCAGAATCCGTCAGGATCCTATGAGCCACTTTTCTCCCCTTACCCAGCTTCGAACACTTCTTCCCCGCCTCTCTGATGTCCAGCATAACATTTTCTTTCAGCAACAGTCTGCTTGTTCGAATGTATGTCGTATGTCGATCGAAGACTGAGATCAATCCTAGACATTGGATGACGCAAATTAATCATAAAGTAGTTCAAAAAAAACTTGTCATTCCAGCCCCTTATGGGATCAAAATGTGAAACGCACAAACTCCGTTTGTTATAAATTTATAATATATTGTCAAAGTCTTCAAAATAATTTATTTCGGAAAAAATATCAAATAAGCGAATAAATCAAAATTATAATAATTTTATAGAGATATGGATACTTTTGAAATATTTCGAAAATATTCAGATTCATAATTAATCTTCTATGGATTCATTTGATTTAATTAGAATTGCTACACTCTATAAGCTCGTTTGTAGTATGAGATACACCATCAATCCATAGCAGAGATAGGCACGGTTCGCTTCGGTTCTTAGTAAAATTTATGCAGTTTGGATTAATGTGAAGTCATCCATAGCAAGAACAATAAACACCTATCATCACTAGCAATGGGAGGGTGTGTGGGTGTGGGTGTGGGTGTGGATGTAGGTGTGGGTGTGGGTGTGGGTGTGGGTGTGGGTGGGGGGCGTATGGNTAGTTGAAGATATCGAATTTAAGAAAACTCTTCGACAAACTCAACAAGATCATGAAGATGAAGAAAAACGTCTCGATGGTGAAACTGTTAAAACATGTCCTAAATGTCATCAAACATATACTTCATCGGAAAATAAATATGGCAATTGTCAATATCATGATGGATATATTGTTGATCTAGATCATTCAGAGAAAAAATTATCTCAAGATGAAGCACAAAAAGAAATTCAAAAAGCTCAAATAATTGCATCGACTACTAGTGGAGATTCAACGGAAAAACCACAAGCACCAAAATTAATGTGGGCATGTTGTTTGGCATTTTTTGGAGGAGATGATCCGTGTAAAGTTGGTGTCTGTGGATTACCGGAAGGAATATCCGAAGAAAATATCAAACCAAATACAGATTTGGTAACTCTTGTTCAAGATTATTTCAAGAAAAATGAATTAGCTGAGAAGAAAATAAAAGAAGCCACAGATCTTTACAAACAAGCAAAAGCAAAAGCAGAAAGAACCGTTCTAAAACCCATAACAGAAACTCCTAGTCGATCAGCATCTACTGCATCTTTACCTGTTCGTCGAAAATAAACTATATATTGACTTTATTTGAAAATATTTGAAATTTTTCAATTTATTAATAATTTTCTATCGAAAATATAATTTCGACTGTTGTAAAATATTATGAATTATTTATGTTAACAATTAATTAGTTCTTTGTCAATTAGATTTTGTTTTTTTATTCTCATTTTCTAGAAATAATGTACTTTACTTTTAAATTATGTGAAAGAATACTTTCTCATTAAACATGACTCAACCCAATATTTTTACTATATGTTCACGTCTAAATGAATATTTGGAACGTGTAATCGAAAATGATGGTGATCCACAATCAGCTCAAAGATCTATTGATCAACTAGTAAAAATTAATTATAATTTAAGTGCAGAAGAAGCTGGTGAAGTTCTTCGACTAATCTTTTATCCATATGGTAGTCGCACACTCGTACATGGACAGAAGGTATAAATCACAAAAAAGAATGAAATTCTAACAAATTACAAAAAAAAATAAATAAATGAATCTATTCGTTAATCTCCTAGAAACTCGCAATCAAAATGGTCAAACTTATGGAATGGTGGTTGCTACGAAAACCGAATAATAGACCTAAAAGTCCTTTGATGGATTTAATTTGTGAACAACAAATTATTGAAGTAGAAAAAGATAAAAACAATGAAGATGTTAGACGGTGAGTAAGAAATTTCTAAAAGTTCGAATTATTTCTCATCAAATAAAAACATATGGATCTGAATAAAAAAATATATTCAAATTAAAGAAATTTTTTCACTTTTCAGAAAATCTAAACAGCTGTTGCTATTTGACAAAATTTTTTTATTTGTCATTGATCTTGAGTTATATATATATTCAATTCGAACATTCAAATTTCTATTTCTAATTGAAAGTTTTTATACGCTTCGCATTGAACTTTATTAAGAAAAAAAAAACAATGAAAAATTTGTATACGGCAAAAATTAACAATTTCGAAGAAAATCAAACAAAATTTTCGTCTTGAAACAGACAGATTTTTTTCATAAAGATTAAAAAAAATAAATTGTTTTTGATACAAGAAAAGAAGACACTTGAGCAAAAAATGCATATTGCAACAAGAAAATTTTTCTTTTAATTCGTAGAAAAATATCGGATGCAGTCAGGAATTCTTTTGGGAAGAATTGACTAAGTTAAAATATGAGAACTCCCCGGAGACTCAGTGGTAATTCCCTGAGAAATCCCCAGGGATTTTATTAGGAAGAGTTGACTAAGGAATTGGTGGATATCTCTCTCAAATTGTCACATATATGATTAAGTTAATTCTTTTTACGAAATTTTATGAGAAGAGATCTTTCAATGAATTAATATGAAATTATATCTGATCGACATAACAATGTTTCGAAATTGATACATTTTTACATTAACGATTTTTCGCCGTTCTTTCAAAATCATGTTAAGAAATTGAATAGATTAGTTCCTAGTCCGTGCAAAACTTTTTATTTTTCTTCTCTTTATTCATATTCGGAGAATCTTTCATTAATATTTTTGTTTGAAAAACTATTACATGAACAATTAGAATAAGATTTCTTATATCTGTTTTGCTAGAAGAAATAAACTATTGTAGTGTAAGTCGGATATAATATGCGATGAAAAAAATCTTGCCAATAAAATTTATATCTATAATTCAATTATTTTATAATCGATAGCTCCACTGTTTTTTTTTTATTAAGAAAAACATTACAAAAAAATAAAGCAAAGCTTAACAAATTGAAAATAGCTCGAAATTTTCTTCGAACATCGTCAATCATAGTTTGGAATATTTTTTTAGTTGTCAACTATTTTCATTTGAAGAGAGTTCAAACGATTCCAATAGAACAAACTTGACAGACAAATGGCATTATTTTGTTATTTGAACATTCATGATCAGCATTCATCACGTTGAATCAAAATAAATAATATTCATCTCTTGAAATACCTTTTGTTTTCATAATAAGAAGAATTAATCTTTTATTGTTGCATTAATCGAGATATATACCTTGACGAACAGCTTTTATTTATATCTATGGATGTACAATACCTTTGAAAGATTTGTCAACCCAAATCATTACCTTAGTTTCAATGTCTTTTGCTAATTTTCTACAGGTTTTTACATAATTATTATAAAAATTACTGAAAAAGATGCAAAGATATTATGCGAGTACTTTTCTTATGTCATTTTTGTTATGAACAAATCGTAATAATTAGGCATATATCAGTCAAAAGAAAAGATAACACTATTCTTAAATTATTCAATGAAACATATGTCTGTCTATCTATTAAAAGAATTTTCTATTTTCTTCAGACTTGTGAAAAATCCAGATGCAACAAATAATCTTTTTCCTTTGATGTCATTATTCGATGTTTATGATTGTACAGGACAAGAAATGAATGCATTAATAAATGTTATTACAGAATGTATTCGACATACTGAGAGTAGACTTGGTAAAATGCATAAATATTTAATTGAACCAGAATATTTTGAATCTATTTGGCGACTTTATTTCGATCCATTAGTTATTAAAAATGTTCTTCAAGATGATGAACATACACATGAAGAAGCCGTAGGTCAAACAGCATATTTATCATTAACAAATAATGAAATTTATATTCAATGGACAGATGAACGTAAAGATAAATATATCCAAGGAATAGTACCACGACGTTCACGTGTTAATGAACTTGTTCATGAAGCATTGAATGTTTGTCAAGATTCAAAAGAAATTTTATTATTATTGAAAAAAATACGTTTAGTTTTAATTAATGTTAAACATTTTTTACCAACTTGGATGAATTTATTTACTCATATAATTAAATTAAAATTTTTTAATAATGAAATAATTGAATTTCTATTTAAACGTTTACAAGATATTCAAATGATTAATTGTGAAAATGAATTAAATAAATTAATTCTTGATTTATTTGAAGTTTGGCCAAAACTTAGTGATGCAAAACAAATGTTTTATATTTCAAATCAAATAGTTCAATTAATAGAAAAATTAATTCTTCATAAAACAAAAATTTCAATGGAATTTATTGAAGATTTAATTAAAAGAATTTCTGTAAATACACCTATAAAAAATATCAATGGTCATATTTGTTTTTATTTTTTACTTAAAGATCTTCTTCCAATTTTTGACAAATATTCAGAAATAAATTTAATTAAAAAATTTGATCATATTATCATTGTTGGATATGCAGATTTTATTTTAACTAATAAAACTGATAAACAACCAATGAATGAACATTGTGATGCTCTTTTAATTATATTAAAATATATAACTAAAAGTACAAATGATAATTATCTTGAATATTGGTTTGATCGTATTATTAAATATCCAAATGAAATATTTTTATTTGAAATAATATCAAAATCAATTTATCCAACAAGTACATTAGCTATTTATGTACGAGACATGACAATTGAACGAATCAATAAATTTCTATTATGTTTACAAAATCCATTATGTTTACAATTTATATCTGTTTTATTAATAATTATTGAATTTTTATCAAAAAATGGTCAAACATATTCGATTCTTTTTCAATCGAATTGTTTTCATGAAATATTAAAAAATTGGTTATTAAATGAAACATCATCAATAATTATTGTTCAAATTATAATATTATTAATTGATGTTGGTTCATCAAAATATAATCAATATAAATTAGATATTGCGAAATTTCTTCTTGATAATTATTCATCAAAATTAATTTCAATTGATTTTAAAGATCAAAGTCCATTTGCAAATATTATTCTTTTTCTGTCATCGATTTCAAATGATGATCAAATAAATGAATCAAATACAATGAATTATGCTGAAATTTTACTTAAAATTTTTTTTTCTCAAATTGATCAAATTAATGATAATGATGATAATATTCAAAAATCTTTTTTATCACATTTAATTAGTCTTAGTAAAGAACTAATTCTTGAACAACAATCAAGAAATAAATTTATTTTATTACTTTCACCTTATATACCTGATTTAATGGGTCTATTAGGTCAATGTAATCATTTAAAATATATATCTATTAAACTTCTTGGTGAAATACTTGATTTATCTGAAAAAGAACGTTCTTCTCTTATTGAAAATATTCAAAATTTCATCGTAGATGAAGATTCAACTATTCTTGCAACTAGTACTCGTCAACAATTACAGCCACAACCACAACAACAACAGAATTTTTTCTTCACTCCTGAAGCTGTAAAAAAATTAGAGATTGCTCGTGTACAACATACTGATTTCGTCAATGGACAACAATTTTTAAATACTTTAGAACAAGCCGAACAAAGAACAATCGATAAATTACTTAATGATCGTTTATCAAAACAACGTTCTACTAATACAAGTTCATCAACAGAAGTTAAACATTCAGATCATATTATTCTTACAGCTACAACTAATCAGAATATAAATAAAGTACTTGAAGTACTCAATGATCCAGTTCCTATATTACTCGAAGGTAACACTGGTGTAGGTAAAAGTGCTACTGTTATGGAAGCAGCAAAACGTGCAGGTCGCGAACTTATTCGATATAATATGTCATCACGTGTTACTATTGAAGATCTTCTTGGCAAAGTTATGCTTATATTTGATAAAGAAACAAAAACAAGTAAATTTAAATTTATTGAAGGTCCATTTACAAAAGCATTTAAAGAAGGTCATTGGATATTATTTGATGAACTTAATCTTGCACAAGATACTGTTCTTCAAGCTATTGAATCAGCACTTGATACACATCATTTAAAAATTCATAATCAAAGTTCAGCAAAAGAATCAGTTGTTGATTATCAAATGAATAATGATTTTCGATTATTTGCTACAGAAAATCCAAATACTGGTTTTTTTAAAGATAAACGAGAAAAATTATCAGCTTCATTTCTTAGTCGTTTTCGAACAACGATTTTTACTGAATTACCTGATATTGAATTGTATGAAATTGTTCAAAAAAAATTAGAGCCTTATTTAGATGATAAAGCTAAAGATTATGCAGATTTACTTGTAACAGATTTTAATAGAAAACTTAAAGAAGCATTAAAAAGTCCAAAACAAAGATTAACTGAAATAGGACCATATGCTGAAATATCTATTCGAGAATTATTAAAATGGGTTGAACATTTAATGTGGTTTAAACAAAAAGGACAATTACCAGATGATGGAGAAGAACGTGGATTAATGCTTAGTTTTAGTGCATGGTGTATATATGGTGCACGATATCGTAGTAATGGACGAGACTTAATTGAAAAGATTTTAACTGATAATGGAAAAGGTGGTTGGGGTCATCCAACATTTCAAACAAAAAAAATCAATATTGATCAACGATTAAATAAAATTTTATTAGATATTAATCGATATTCAACTCGAGTTGAAATTCGATCAATTAAAAATCCTGAACATGAATGGACACGTATTTTTACTTTAGTTGATCTTAAAACAATTAAATTTAATTTAAATATATGGACAATTGCATTTAATGTTCATAATGCTGTTCATCAAATATTAATTTCGAATAAATTTATTCTTGAACATGGAATTTATCGTATTGATCGTTCGTGGTTATGGCAATGGATTACATCAGCAAATCGTTTTTTTGAACAAATAAATGAATTTGCAATACAAGGTTTTAAATTATATATTGGTCGTTTTCGTCATATTAAAGCACAAGAGAAAATTCGAAATTGTTTTATTGAACATTTTAAAGATGTTGATCTATCTCAAATTATTTCTAATGATTATTTTATTCAACCAGAAATGCCATATATTTTAACAAATCGAATATTAACTACATTAGAACAAGTATCATTTAATATGCATATAAAACAACCAATACTTGTTACTGGTCCTGAAGGTTGTGGAAAATCTGATTTATTATTAACTCTTGGTTGGCTTAATAGTCAACAAGTTAATCAATTAAATATCACACCTGAAACAGAACCATCAGCACTTATTGGTCAATTTATTCCCAATGAAGTAAAAGATAAAAATGATCCAAATTATGGTGAAAAAATAATTTGGCAAAATGGTTGTGTAACACATTCATTTGTTGATGGACAATGGGCATTACTTGATAATTTCAATACAGCCGAATCATCCGTACTTGAACGACTTAATCCGATTCTTGAAGAACACCCAATGCTTATATTAACTGAAAAAGGTGATGTTAATAAATTAAAAATGAATAATGATTATCGTCTTGTTGCAACAATGACACCACCTGATTCACGTTATTTATCATTAAATATTGGTGAACTATCACCATCACTTTATAATCGTTTTGCTATTGTTCATATGATTGATATTGATAAAGATTACGATGAATTATTTCAACTTGCCAAAGGTCTTCTTTCAGATACAGATGATATTGATCCAAAATTAGCTATTGATATTTATAGAAATATTTCCGATTTCTTATCAAATAATGCAACAAATATTTCTAAATTAACTTTAAGAAATTTTGTTCGTTTTCTTGATAGTACATATCGTCTTCATCGACGATTTAAAGATTCATATGATTTTATTTCAATTCTTTGGACTGCTTATCATGTTACTATTGCTAATCAAGTTAAAGGAAAAGAAATTAAAAATCAAATGACAGAATCGGTTAAATCATTCTTTGCACATACTCGACCAAATTGTGAACTTCGTCAACCACCATTTACTGATTGGATTCGAAAATCAAATGAACATATTTTAACTGAAAGTCGATTAAATTATGCTAATGCTGTATTAGGTGCTGTTGCTTGTAATATTCCACTTCTATTAGAAGGTCCAGCAGCTGTTGGAAAAACAACATTAATTTCTCATATATGTAAACATCTTGATAGTGAAAAAATGCATCATATATCAAGTAAACAACTAGGAAAACTTGAACGAGTTAATAATACGGATACAACAACAATTCAAGATTATTTAGGAACATTTTTACCTGTTAATAATGGATTTGTTTTTCAAAAAGGTGCACTTTATCGAGCAATGGAAAATGGTTGGTGGTTTCTTGCTGATGAATTTAATTTAGCTGATCCATCTGTAATGAATATACTTTTTCCATTACTTGAAGGTAAAAATTCTCTAATGATTCCAACAAGTGGAAAAATCATAACAGCTAAAGCAGGTTTTCATTTTTTTGCCACACAAAATGATTCATCTTATGCTAATCGACATCAATTACCAATATCCTTACGTAATCGTTTTCTTGAAATACAATTTGATGAATTTCCTGAATTAGAATTAAAAGAAATTCTTCTTCGACGAAATAAATCAAATCTAACAAATGAATCAGCTAAACGTTTATCTGCATTTTATCATCGATTAATTCGTCCACGATCACGTATTACATTTCGTGAACTTGTTAAATGGTTACATCGACATGAATTATTTTCTCCTCAACAAGATTTATTTTCATCACAGCATGAAATTTTTAATACTGAAAAAGATTTTTGGTCAATGATTGGTGCATCATTATTAACAGGCAAATATCCATTAGAATCATTAATAAGACAAACATTAATTAATGATTTAAATACAATTTGGCCAAATAATATAATAACAACAAATTTAAGAATATCTATTCAAGATATTGGTGGTGGGAAAACTCGTTTTCAAGAAAATGATCTTTTTGTTGATTTAAAAACAACGAAACTATCCGATAGTATTCTATTAACATCACCAAAAACATTTAAACAAGCATTTGTACGTATTGCTTTAGCTATTCATGCAGGTGAACCTGTACTTCTTGTTGGACCAACATCATGTAAAACATTAATTGTTGAAACATGGACAAAATTATTGAATCGTTTTCATGAACTTATTAAAATACATTTAACACCTGAAAGTGAATCATCGGATTTAATTGGAGATATTCAACCATATACATTTCTTGATTTACTTAAACGATTACCAACAATGGCTCAACATGTTCTACAACGTTTTCAAAATCTTTTACAAAATCAAACAAATGCAGGAATATTTGAAAATAATGATAAAATTTTTATTAATAATCTTAATAAACTAATTATAAATGATCTTAATGATTTAATTAAACAATTTAAAATAAAATATTCACATGAAGAAGAAGAAGAAAAACAACAAGAAAATACTCTTCATAATAATTCTTCAACGAAACAAATACATATTCAATCATTTGCTATATCAAATCCGATTGATGAACTTAGAAATAATATTGAAAATGTAACTGAAACAAAAACTAGTCGAATATCATCTCAACGAAGTTTTAATGATTATGAATATGTACCTCAAATATATGATGATGATGACGATGATGATGATGATGATGATGATGATGATGAAATTACACATAAGAAAAAGAAATTTCATAAAATCTTCTACACTGATTATCAATTAGAAGATGATGGTTATGGTACACGTGGTGCAACTACTAATGTAGAAAAATCTCTTGTTAAAAATAATGAACAATCTAAACCATCTATATTTCAAAGAACAATTTCAAAAATTGATGTTGATTATAATGATATTGAAGAATCAGTTTCAAAATCAACATTTCAAAAAACTTCAGATGAAATATTTCCATTGATAAATGATGGTTATCCACGTCTTATTAATCGTACATCAAAAATAATTCAATCAAATTCTGAATCATTTTCAAATGAAAACAAACCAAAAAAAAATTTTTCTATTGAACTTTGTCAAACAATTGAAAAAATTCAAACACAATTTAAATTAATGTTTAATAATAATGATTATACATCATTTACATCAAAAGATACAACACTTATTGATTATGAATCAAAATTTAATAATGCTTGGGAAAGATTAAATTCATCTGATATTGATCAAACAAAACCAATATTTATTTTTAATGATGGACCTGTTATAACAGTTGCTAAACATGGTGGAATACTTTTTCTTGAAGATCTTGATTTACCAAGTCAAGCTGTTGTTGAAAGACTTAATTCAATGTTTGAATTAAATCCAACATTAACATTAACCGAAGATATAATAACATTAACTGATAATGGTCAACTTGATATTAAATTATCAAAAAATTTTCAAATATTTGCAAGTGTTCATCAAGAAGAATTAAATCAATTATTAAAATTAAGTCCATCAATACGATCACGTTTTACAGAAATTTATATTCCATCTTATAATGATCAAGAATTAAAAGAACTTATTAAATCATCATTAAATAAACAACAAACAGAAACAAATAATATTGATGAAATAATTGAACAAATGTTTTCATTAAGAGAAAAATTACATTCTGATCCACAATGGAAATTAAATAATGATATTCAATTATTATTTCGTTGGATAGATTTTATTCAAAATCATCATATATCAATATCATTAACACATCGAATGTTACTTGGTGCAAGATTTTTTTATTTTGATTTATTACCAATATCACGACATTCAACTATATTTGAAGAATGGTATCAAAATGAAAAAAAATCATTTAATTTAAAAGAATTTTCTTTTATATTTAATCTACCAGATGAAACACATGGTGCAATGACTATTCAATCAATTCAATTAGATAAAAATATTTTTCCATTTCATGTTGATTCAGAATATATTGCATTAAAATATACTGGTGTTCGATATTCATTTGAAACAAAAAAAGATCCAATAGAAATATTAAATAAACTTAAACAAAATTTTTTTTGTGTACCAACACCAACATTGATCAATCAAATAGCACGAATATTTGCTGCAATATCATCAAAAACTCCTCTTCTACTTGAAGGACCACCTGGTATTGGTAAAACTCAAGTTGTAACACAAGTTTGTTCATTATTAGGTAAACAATGTGAAAGAATTAATCTTTCAATAAATACATCACTTGATCAACTTATTGGTTGTGTTATTCCTCGTTGTATTAATGGTATTAGAGTTTTTCAATGGCAAGAAGGACGAGTTTTATCAGCTATTCGAACTCAACGTTGGATTCTTTTTGATGAATTAAATTTAGCTGCACCAGAAGTATTAGAAGGTTTAACACCATTATTTTATCGAGGAATATCACATTATACAGTTAAAACAACAGGTGAACAAGTACCAATAAAAGATGTTTTACTTTTTGCTACAATGAATCCATCAACAATTGGTGGTGGAAGAAGTAAATTACCTCGATCAATAAATAATTTATTTACTACTGTTCAAGTTGATGATTATTCAGAAGAAGAATTACGAATTATTCTTAATCAATTATTTTTCTTAGAACTTAAACAAGGTACTATTCATATGAAACAACTTGATGCATTATTTGATATGCAAGTTTCATTTAAATTACATATTAGTCAAAGCGATCTTGGTCGAACAGGTGGTCCATATAAAATAAATTTACGTGATTTAACAAAATTTCGTGATGTTTTTCGTCATTCAATACAAAGTCAATTATCTCATTATAGATTTTTAAATACAATTCTTGATGAAAATCTTATTAATAATGATAATGATAATGAAGAAAAAATTAAAACAATAAATGATTTAAGTCCAACAATTGATGTTTCATCTGCATGTTTATTATCAATAAGAAAATTTGCTCAAGTTGTTTATGCATGTCAATTTCATGGCCAAGAAGATTTTTTAAAAGCATGTCAAATAATCAATGATAAATTTTCAATAAATGATAAAATTGAAGAAAAAAATTGTTCAATTGATATATCATCATATAATGTTGTTCGTATTGGTTCAATTTATATAAAAACAGGTTCCGAACAACCATTTCCAACTAATATGGGTTTAATAAAAACGAAAAAAACTATTCATCAATTAGAATTTCTTGCTGCTGCATGTCAATCAAAACGTACAATATTACTTGAAGGAGATATTTGTTCAAGAAAAACAACTCTTGTTATTGAATTAGCTCGTATTACACGTCATCGATTAATTATTATTCCATTACATGAAAATTTTGAAACAACAGATTTAATCGGTTCTTGGTTACCAATTATCGAACAAAAACAAAGACATCCTTTATTTATTGATATTGAAAATTTATTTAAAAATATAATCAAATCAATTCTTATTATTATAATGCCATTATTATCTGAACAACATAATAAAAATATTTTTGATAAAATAAAAAAAATTTTACGTTTACGTTCAGATAATCAAATGCGAACAACTCGTGATGAAATGTTTGATTGTGAAAAAACTGCATTGAAACAAATAATTAATATATTAAATTCATTTCGATTACCGCAAGATCAAAGAAAACAACTTATATCACATTATATTCAACTAGCTGATAAATATATCAAAAGACTTGAACAACTTCAATTAAGTAAAAAACAAGAAGTAGGTTTTACATTTGTTGAATCTGAATTTGTTCAAGCTATTCGTGAAGGTTGGTGGGTTTTATTAGATAATGTTAATTGTGCACCATCTGAACTTCTTGAAAGATTAAATTCATTAATAGAAGATAATCCAATATTATCTTTATATGAAAATTCTAATGGACAAATTTTAACAAAAAATAATGAAAGTATTCATGAAAATTTTCGTTTATTTACTACAGCAAATCTTAATCGAATTTATTCAAATAAACTTTCATCATCATTTCTTAATCGAGTTATTCGTCTTTGGTTACCACCAATTGATGAATGTGATCATATAGATTTATTAAAAACAGATTTATATGAATTAATTTCAACACAATTAATAACAATACCAGCTGGAAAACAATTTGCACATTTAATTATTCAAATACATATTAATGTTAAACAATATGTTAAAGATGGACAATTAATTTATCCAAATAATTTTCATATAACATATCGTTTATTAGAACAATGTATAAAAACATTAATTAATTTAATTAATGAAAATATTCATCCAGTTGATGCATGTTATTGGTCAATATTACGTTCATATTGTTCATCATTATATGATCATGAACAATATAAATTTTTTCTTATACAATTTCAACAAACAATTGATAAATTAGGATTTCAATTATCATCAACAATATTTTCAACACCAAAAAATGAATATCATGGAAAACAAGATCGTTATATTGAAGAAGAACAATTTATTCGAGCTGAATTTATTCAATTTGAAAGATATTTAATGGAATTTATATTTAATTTATTAAAAATTCTTGTACAAGATGATAAATTAATTGAACAAACACGAAATCTTTTTATTTTATTTATTGATGATATTTTACTTCCAATGACACCAAATGATATTCAATTAATTCGATTAAAACAAACACTTATAATTAAAACAAATAACTTTTTAAATCTTTCATCAATATTAAATGAATTTATTCAATATAAAGAAATTTTTCTTCATAATTTTAATATTAACATTTCAATAGCTATTAAAGAATTAATTCAAAATCATTCAATACCAATAAATACAATGTCAAAACAAATATCACAATTATTAGATCAATATATTCGTAATACATCATTTAATGATGCATATCAACGATTACAATTTCTTCGACGATCAATTGGTCTTATTGAAATTTTTCATAATTTTTTTAGTTTATCAATATTTGGAGAATTTCATATGACAACAAATATAAATGTATTTCGAATAGAAATTCTTCAATATTTACGACCATTATTATTATCATTTAAAGATCGATTAATTTCATATGAAATTTTAATTGAACCATCTTTTATTGATATAAAACAACAATATTTAAATGAAACAAATCTTGATTTTAATATAAATACAAGTCTTTTAAAATCATTTGATCGTATTCAATCACTTCCAATACGATCAACAAGAATAGATATGAGAAAATTTGTTGAATTTTTGCTTAATGAAATTGATCAACAATCACCTAGTAGAAAAATTATTCAACATTATTCAACTTTATTAGAATGGATTAGAATTCGTTGGATATTTGATGATTATTTAACTAATTCAATTCGAGATGCTTTACAAAATAATATTTCAATTACACGACATTTTATTATTGAATGTGAATTGAAATTTTCTTGTTTAGAATTAAATCGAACAATATCTCAAATAATAAAAAATACTGTTGAAAAATTACCTGATATACAATCTTCATTAAATAAGAAATATTTACAAGCACAAAATCATATGAAAAATATTTCAAATTCTATCGATATTCGTAAAAAACAAATTACTGATATTAAACATTATTTTGAGAAATCAAAAGACAACGATGATGTTAAAGGAACATTTATTGAAGTTTCACAATATAGTCGATCAACATTAAAACGTTCTGGTGCTGCTTTTCGTTCAGAAGATCATGATTTACATGTAAAACAAGAAGATCTTCAACGTGATTTAGATCGACTCACCAATGATTTAAAGGAAGCTTCTAAAGAATTTGAAGATATTCAAAAAACCTATCAAGATACATTAACAAAAGCAATGAACGCACGTATGCAACTTCGACAATCAATGAAATATGTTTTTGAATCAGGTACTTATCAATTTATTGAAGAACGTTTTGAAGAACCGGATGTTAATGAACTTAATCGAATTTGTCAATATCTACATAAATCTCGATTAAATCCAACATTGATCTATAATGATGGTTTACTCGATGTATGTGCTATTCTTGAAACACAATTTGGACGTGAATTAATTTCACATGATAATATTCTTCGTACACCATTAATTTTTTTTCTATGTGGTTTCTTTTTTCTTCCAAATTTCGATCATCAATCTCGTATATATATTATTTCTCAATGGGGTCAATTAATTGATGAAAATTTCGATATAAGAACATTTGATAATAATGTTCTTCTTTTCTATTGTCCAAATCAAAATCAATATGATTGTGCTCTTCTTAAATTTCTTAATAAACCACAAAAATTAACTATTACTGTTTTAAGTTTATCATCTGGTATAAATACCAATGATTTACGTTTATCTTTAGAAGAAATATTTTCTGATGGGATTAATATTGATATAGAAAATGATTATTTAGATGATATATATAATAATGATAATCAACATAGATTTTCTTTATCTTGTTTAATGAAAACTTTAAATAAAACAAAAGAATTAACAAGTAAACAAATTTATGAAAAAGTTATGATNCGCACGTATGCAATTTCGACAATCAATGAAAGATGTTTTTGAATCAGGTACTTATCAATTTATTGAAGAACGTTTTGAAGAACCGGATGTTAATGAACTTAATCGAATTTGTCAATATCTACATAAATCTCGATTAAATCCAACATTGATCTATAATGATGGTTTACTCGATGTACGTACTATTCTTGAAACACAATTTGGACGTGAATTAATTTCACATGATAATATTCTTCGTACACCATTAATTTTTTTTCTATGTGGTTTTTTTTTTCTTCCAAATTTCTATCATCAATCTCGTATATATATTATTTCTCAATGGGGTCAATTAATTGATGAAAATTTCGATATAAGAACATTTGATAATAATGTTCTTTTTTTCTATTGTCCAAATCGTAATCAATATGATTGTGCTCTTCTTAAATTTCTTAATAAACCACAAAAATTAACTATTACTATTTTAAGTTTATCATCTGATACAAATACCAATGATTTACGTTTATCTTTAGAAGAAATATTTCCTGATGGGATTAATATTGATATAGAAAATGATTATTTAGATGAAATTGATGAAATATATAATAATGATAATCAACATAGATTTTCTTTATCTTGTTTAATGAAAACTTTAAATAAAACAAAAGAATTAACAAGTAAACAAATTTATGAAAAAGTTATGATTATATTTAATCAATTAAAAGAATATGTTCATGAAAATCCTCTTCAACATCGTTCATTAACTATTTTTACTTATCAACAAGCTCAAAAATTTCAAAATGAACTTAAAAAATATTATGAAAATGAAATAACAGAAAATAATCAATGGTTAATTTCAGTTGAAAATTTCTGGACATTATTAGAAGCCTATCAATCTGTTTTTTCTAAAACAAATGCCGATTCAATTGAACAAGATCTTCGACATACAATACAATCATTAGAAATAACAAATATGACAAGTCGTCTTTCATCATTAATCTATTTAAAAACAATTCCATCAACATATGCATCAAGATCAATGATTGAACAATATTTACGAGGTGATGATATTAATCAAACGACAAAAGAAATAATTGATGAATTTGAAATATTTTTTGATTTTATTAAAAAAAGTCATTGTTTATTAAATTTAATTATTCAATATGTAACAATAAAAGATGAAAATGATTTATATTATTTAACACCAATGATTATTGAACATTGTCAACACATATTTCATTCAATATTAACTGTTACAGAAATAATTAATGGTCGTTTATATATTTCAACTAAAATTTCAGAAGATAAATTTGAAAATTTTCAAAAACAACTTGAAAAAGATTTAGATGAAATAAAATTCCCAAGAAATTTAATTATACGCTATGGTTTAGATCGATTTATTGTTTGTTTAGCACCTATATTTAATGAAAATCAATCTAATCCAATATTAACAAATGACAATAAAGATCAAATAAGATCTAATGGATTTATTATAGAAGATTCAAAAAAAATTCGTCGACAAGCAATTCAAACAACAATTGATACAAGTATTTCTAAATTAACTGAACTTTTATCTCGTGCTGGTCAATTACCATTAAGACCACATAATCTTATTCGACGTATTCATGAAATTTTACATAAATTAAAAACTTTTGATATTTATCATGAACATGAAGATAATATTAATTGTTTAATTGCTGAAGAAACTATTCTTATTAATTTATTTGAAAAATTTCAACAAGAAATTAATCATTATACATCATTTCATGTTCATTTACCAACTGATCAACAAATACATGAAATAACTCAAAATGAATTAAAAATAAATAATCATCAAATATCTTTACAGAATCATATTGATCAATTAAAAATTCATATTGAAACAATTTCTATTCATAGTCAATCACATTTATTTGAAGATATAAATCAATTAATTCGTTTAACACATTCATATCTATCAAATCAAATCTGGATACGTACTATGAGTTTATTAAAATTATCAACAACTGAACAATTACGAAATTGTTTAATATTATTAAGTGATGATTTAGCAAGTCAATGTGGTTTTATTTCGTCGAATTCATTATTAATCAATGTTCCACTTGCATATGGAAGATTTCGATGTGATTTATTAATTGAACAAAGTAAATGTGAAATGATTTCAGGTTATTTAAATGTTGCTTATTTAACGAATAAAATTCGTGATTGGATGACTGAAGCTCATTTAAATGTTTTTAATTTATTAGAAAATATTAAAAAAATATTTGATAATATAAATTGCGCACAAAATCAAATGAAAAATTTTACTGGAGATACAAGTTGTAGTATATTACCTATTGAAATACGTCCGGAAGATTTAATTTGTTTATTTGCACCTGAATATACAACAATAATTGAAGCTATTTGTGAAAAAGTTAATGAAATTGATGAATTTCTTTCTTGTCGCAGAGATAAAATTGAATCGATAAAATTATCATTAACAAAACCTTCATCAGAAAAAAGAGCTACACATGGTTTATCAAGTTATGTTTATCTCAATCAATCATCAACATCAGTATTTCTGTTCGATAAACATAAACATATTCATTATATTCTTGATGATACAATTAGTTTTATTCAACAATTAATTAATTCATATATTGATATTGATTATCGAAATTGTTTTCTAATGAAAATTGCAACAAGTTATAAAGAATTATTTCCAATTCATATAGCATTATCATTAGCATTAATCATTTTAATAAGTTGGTCATCATATTATCTTGAAGATTTTGAATTATATTTTCAACAATTAACATTAGTTAATTTAAATGATGATATAAATCAAAGTGAAGATGAACAAAAAAAACTTGATGAACAAAAAACAAAATTAACTCTACTTCAAACTAAACTTAAACAAGTTAAAATTTCAACAGAAAATGCTAAATTATCATATGATGATGCATGTAATGCGGAATATATTGTTCGACAAAAACGAGAAGAATATCTTCGTCAATGTATTGAACGAGAAGAAAAAATTGAAAATGAAACAAAATTACAACAACATTGTGTTGATGATTTAGAAGATAATCTTAAATTATTAAACGAGAAATATAAAATAAAACTTAAAAATGAACAATATCAATGGTGTAAAAATGTAATTCAATGTTTTCAAAGAATTTCAAATGAAATTTGTAAATTTATTTTTAATCTTGTTGATAAACAACCATCAACATCAACAGAAAATTATCAAAATCTTCTATTAATTCTTATTTCACTTGTTCGACAAGATTTTCTCGAACCAACAAAAATGAAACTTGATTTAAATAAAATAATCAATATTGAACAAATAGTTAAAGAACAATTAGATCAAATTTTTATTTATACAAAATTTTTAACGGAAAAAGATCCAATGCATAATTATCTTAGATTTTATCGTGAGATTTTCTACATAGGATTTTGTTCATTAAAAAATTCTTTAAAAAGTTGGAAAATTTATTCAGAAAAATTACAGTCAATTGAAATTGAATCATTCATTCAAAAAAATAAAAAGCAAGATTTATGTCAATTAAATACATTAACACGTGAGAAATGTTTTAAATTTATTGAACAAATTCGAACAGGTTATGAACAAACTGAAATAATGAAATCTGCACAAGATATCAGTCGATATGTACGGAATAAAACAAATAATTTTGATTTCATTTTTACTGGACAACAATTTGGAAAACAAATTAAAAATCTTATACGAGATTTTGAAAGATTTATTACTAATTTACTTATTATTGGTTGTCGATATTTACAATTACAACGTGGTACACGTGAACCACTTGATGATTTATTAATTGGAATAACATATGAAGTTATTGATCGACATTTACCAAGAAATGAACTTGTTTTACTTCAATTACTTGATACATGTGAAATACAATTAAAAAGTCATTGTGATACACTTTTATTTCAAACATTACACATTACATTTCAATTTAGTTCAAATCCATTTGCACTTTCAGATAGACTTGATCGTTCAGCTAAAGCTTTATCACATTTAATTCTTCCAGCTGCTCATATGATTGAAAGAATGTGGTCAACTATTACTCAATTAATTAATAAAATCGGTGCAAAAATAACTGAAGAAGAATATAAGATTCTTGACATTGTTTGTAAAGATTTTGTTCGATTAATTGAACCATCATGTGAAATAATAAATGAATCAGATTTTCTTCATTTACAACTAAAGTCAAATCAATTTCAATTAATGTCTGAACATATTGATAATTTATATGAAATATTAATTGATAAACGTCATGGAATGAAAATATTTTGTGAAAATATGAAATCTCGATGGAATTTAACATTAAAAGAAATTTTACAAGATTTTATTAAATGTAAACAATTTAATATTCAACGTCAATTAGAACAGAATCAACGTTCAAGAAAAAAATTCGAATATTTATTTGATAATAATAATTCACAACAATCAGATGAAATTCATCTTGCTGATATTGAAAATGTTTTAAAATCTAAAACAATTGATATAAATCTTCATACAAATCGATTAAATCGTCTTCGATATCTTCAAATTGTTTATAATTTAATTTTCAATGGTATTAATAATCTTGGATCAAATTTAATTAATACTCCAACTCAACATATTCATCATCGAATATTATTACCATTATTTAGTATAATTAGTAAATTATATGATGATTGTGAAAAATCTTTACTTATACAACCATTAATTGATTTTATTCAAAATAATGATTTAATAAAACATTTATTTCAATTAATTGAAACAATTCATCGTTTAGAAATGAATTTATTTGATACACTTTTATCTCTATCATTAGTTGATTTAGCCGAAAATTATGAAAATTTATATAAATTAATTGATTTTAAATTTTATATCGATCATTGTTTAGAAATAATTCAACAATGGAAATTATCTGGCAAAAATTTTCTTCAATTACGTAAAGAACAACGATTAAATAATGAATATTTAACTAAAATNTCTTCAAATTGTTTATAATTTAATTTTCAATGGTATTAATAATCTTGGATCAAATTTAATTAATACTCCAACTCAACATATTCATCATCGAATATTATTACCATTATTTAGTATAATTAGTAAATTATATGATGATTGTGAAAAATCTTTACTTATACAACCATTAATTGATTTTATTCAAAATAATGATTTAATAAAACAATTATTTCAATTAATTGAAACAATTCATAGTTTAGAAATGAATTTATTTGATACACTTTTATCTCTATCATTAGTTGATTTAGCAGAAAATTATGAAAATTTATATAAATTAATTGATTTTAAATTCTATATCGATCATTGTTTAGAAATAAATCAACAATGGAAATTATCTGGCAAAAATTTTCTTCAATTACGTAAAGAACAACGATTAAATAATGAATATTTAACTAAAATAATCGGAAGAAATTTATCATATATTGAACAAAATTTTATTTCAAAATCAACATATGATAATGATTTAAATATTCGTTATTTAGTTGAACAAATTCGTAAACGTATGCAATGGGAACAAATTGGTAATGAACAAATATTTACATTATCAACATGTCAAATATTATTAAGAAAATTTTTTCATTTTTATCATCAATATCAATTATTAATTAATTTAAAACCATTAAATGAAAATGAAATATTTCATATAACACATCAAGTTTATTTTATTGATATTGAAAAACTTAATCTTCAATTACATTCAATTACAATGTCTATTTTCAATTCAAATAATAAACAAACTAATCTTATTATTCCACTTGATCTTGTTGATAAATATTCAAGACTTATTCTTGTTGTTAATACAAATATAATTAAACTTATTATTAATACGGAAAATTCAATAGGAACAGATATTTCATGGACAAAACTTGTTGATCAACAACAAATACATACATGGGATAATCACCTTCGAATTAAATGTTTTCCAGCTGATAGAAATGAATGTTTTTATACAGTTAAAGGTCTTGGTGGTTCAATTGATGATAATGATATTTTATCAATTAATGATCTTGATCGATTGATAAATATTTTTGATGAAATATTTCAACAACAAATAAATCAAAAAAAAGAAGAATTTATTTGGGAAAAATCATCAATTACATTATTATTTAAATTATTTATTGAAAATCTTAATAAAATAAATCAATTATTTAAATGTTCACCATTATCAGATATTGATTTATTAACAAGTTCAAATATTTATCAACTATTTCTAAAATTACCAACATTAGAAATATTTAAACAAGTTTTTGATCTTCTTCAAATCGATAATCAATTGTCAATCATCATTCCATTACAAATTGTCAATGATGATAATTCAGCTATTAATCAGCAATTTAATCAAATATGGACACAAAATATGGAGAAAACATTTCAAATAGGAAAAAATCTTATAATTGATGCTCAAAAACGAGTCTCAGATATATTAAATTCAATACGTTCAACTAAATCACGTATTATTTTATGTTATGTATGGGCAAATGCACTTTCAGTTAATATAACTAATGATAGTGAACATGAATTTTCAGTTATGTTATCTGAATATTCTAAATTAAATCAAATTTCATATGGAAATCAATCTGAATCAATAAAAAATATAGAAGAATCTCGACGAATTGTTGATGAAGCAAATCAAGTCTATCGTACAATGAAACGAAGAGGAAATATTTGGACAGATGTTAAACATTTATTAGATATAAAAGAATTTCAAATTGAAAATAATATGAATGATGCATTTCTTGGTTCACAAATGGATCGTGATGTTCATTTATGGTTAATTTATGATAATACATCAAATTTACTTGTATGTCATCCTCAATTTGCTATTTTAGATTTTGGTATTGTACTTCGAGGTGTTCATCAACGTTTAATTCAACGTGTTTTTATACATAATCAAACAGGAAAAAATTTAACTGTTGGAATAGATCGAAAAATAATTGATGAAAATATTTTTGATGTTACAATAGAACATATTCCAATTAATATTGGTGCTATGGGTGAATTTGAAGTATTATTAAAACCACCATTAAATGTTAAGATATTTGAAGAAGATTGGAATCTTGCTATTGATAAAACAAATATTTTACCAAATGCTGTTCAACCACTTGTAGAGGGCTGCAGGGTGCAGGATTTTTATAACCTGTAACCTGCCCTGTAAATTTTTTGTAACCTGATCCTGCCCTGCCCTGTGAATATTTTTGCGGACCCTGCCCTAAAACTTTCTAATG